ACTAGAAATGGATTTCTCATGTTGAGCAAAGAGTAATACAGATACGTTGGCTAAAACACTATTCTTAGAATTGAGCCGAGGAGAAAGAGACAGATGAAGCTGTAATTTACACATGGGTCTTGAGGGGAACTTATCCCTCAAAACCTGGAATTTATTTATAATTTATTGCCTGCCCGCTTCCATAGAAGGATTTGAGACAGCAAAATCTGGAATAAGAATCCAAGTGTATTATATCTGGGATTGGTAGATTCAAGTTCTGAAGGTAATTTAGCAAAAAGTGAAAATAAATAAACTTAAGATTTTTGTCCTCAAATGTTTAAAAAATAAAGAATAGAAAACTGTTCCTTTGATTTTTTTTTTAAATCTTTCTTCTACATTTTCTTCTGTGAAACAAAACCTAGTTTATTTAAATTACATTAGAGACAGAAAGTTAAGAAGAACAAGTAGAAATCCATAAACAAAAATGAAGTTCTAGAAATCTTTAGAACTGCGCTTATTATTATACTATGAACTTGCCAGCACTTCAATTAATTTCCAAATGAATCAAAACCCTTGGTTAATATTACGCGAGCTGATTGGTACTTGGGATCCAAGCAATGGGTCCCTATATTACACACCATTGCCAGTTTTTAAAATTCCAGGATTGGAACCCAAAGTATTTCAGAGGTATATGGAACTCAAGCTTTAAAACATTCTCAAAAAAGAAAAAAAAATGTGTTAAGGAGCTCCAAGTTCCAGCAGCTGCTGCCCTGTTCAAAACATGTACTTCTCAGTAAGTGAAGCAGCTAGAATTAGGAGAGAAAATGTGCAAAAGCACCACAAACAATGGACTATTGTTTCACAGCCCATTACAGAAAATGCCAATCAATATTTGGGCAGAATGATTAGTAAGGGTCCCAGCTCTTCATACTCTTGACGGCTGCCTCCGCCTGCCAGGCAGTGTGGAGTCTGGCTGCTCTCCAGGATTGCAGTTTAAACAAAAATACCCTTCAAAATTCAGTTTGCTTGGGACTTACCACAGGCTTTGGTTTGGAACTTTCCAGTAATACCCATGATAATTTGGCCTGAGACACACTGGCCGGCCACCACCACCACTAACTCGAGGGAGAACTGTCTGGAAGCAGGCTGAGGCTTCCTGGGCTGGCCACCCAGAAGAGTGGTGAAGAATAACGGAATAAATGGATGAAAAGATGGCTGAGCAGACAAAGAGAGAGTGGGCAGAGTAATGGGTTGCTCAGGACATGCTGACCACTAAGAAAACTGGCTTTAGCAACCAGCCATATGTGTCTTCTTGATGGCAGACAACACCACCTGTGAAGCATTCTTGCAAAAAAGTAAATAGGAATTTTGACCAAGTCTCTGGAGTTAGCAACCACATGGCAGGAAACTTAGGAGAGAAAAGAACACGTTAAAGGGCACCACAGGGATGTGGCCACTGAAGTACAGACTACAGAAAACTCCAGAAGACAATCTAGTCTCTTAAATAAATATGCCGCATTAAAAAAAATTTTTTTAAGGGGAGAAAAGTCAAGATTAAAATGCATTAACTTTATTTCAATCCTGATTTAAACAAATTGAGAGAAACAGATAACAGAAGTATTTATCGTTTCAAACGGTTCTAAATCACTAAATTTGGGAGTAACTTGTTACTCTGCAATACACACCAACCTAGAAATCCATACTGAAAACTATGACTAAGTGTGAGATGTTAACAAAAAGACTAGTCCTTTTAAATTCATATAGACCTGGGTTCAAGCTCTGGATCTACTACTTGGTAAGGCTAGGGGAGTGATATGCCTCCTGTGAAAGGCTGGAGTCTTTCAGTGTGTAAAACAGAGATAAAAATGACAAATGCCTAGGGTTGTTGTAAGAATTTAAAGAGAGGAAACCACATACAAGGGCTTCGCACACTGCCTTGCACGGAATAAACAAAGCGTTGACTAGCAGCTGTTACTCTGTAGCCCCCTTATCAGCAAGTCTCCCTCTACCATGGCCTCACTCCCACCACTCCACCCCCCAAAAAGAAGAAGAAGATATCCCGGAAGAGGCTGCGTCTACATCTCCTAGCAGAAGGCAGGTGGCGGGTGGCGAGGCGGTACAATGCGCTGCGTCCTCCACCAGGGTTTGCACTTAGCATCTGTTTGTACCTCTTCCGGCCTCGGGCTGCACAATATGCCGCCTATCCCGGTGCGGCGAGCACGCTGCAGCTGGAGCATGAGCCCCGCGCACGCACACAGGAAGCAAGATCCAGCTAATACTCCTGTGTGCGCATAGACAGCCTTTAAAGAGGAATATTATATGGGGGCATCCATGTGGAATTTAAGTTTAAGGGCTTTTTCCTCTCCTTGGCCCAACAGCACAAAACCAGATGGGTTGTGAACTGGCAGCCATCCTTTCGTTCATCATTATGTTTTACACACAAGGAAATTTTAATGTCTAAAGATGGGAGGTGATGATAAGAATAGAGCTACATGTGTTTTTTTGGCAGCCCAGTCACCAGCACTTAAAATTCACTTCTGACAGTTCTCAGAATTGAAAGACCTGTAAGTACTGAACTGTCAGCTGCCTATCCAGGCGAGATTTCACTTTGGCAGTATTTCAAAAGTAAAATCGCACCCTTTCTCATGCATTATTTTCACCACCACAATATTTCTTTCGGCTGTGTAAAGTCCTGTCGTCCCGAGAGACATATACAAAGAAGTTTGTGTTACAGGGTTTGCTGAAAGGAAAAAGGCTGAGGCTTTTTGTTTCTGAACTCAGAAGTACAAAAATTCAATCATTTGCTAAAATCTAGGATTAGGGCAAAATGGGCGATGGCTTCCTCCGAGAGTCTGAGCTTGATCATTACAGAAGGCCGTTGAATTGGATGATTTCTGAACTACTTAATGGTTAAAAACTAATGGTCCTGTTAAGACTTGGAAGATGGTCCTATTATGTAACAGTTGGCTCTTCTCAACGAAACTGCTCACTTCCAATGCGGTCTGACTCGAGAACTGGAGGAACTGTAAAGAGACGACTCATCCAAGCTCCACTAGAGCAGCGTGGTGCCAGGCAGAGAGGGAAGACTCAGAAATGGATGGAAACCCTACATCGTTCCGAACGGGCCAAGGGCCCCAGCCGGCACAAGCCACTTGCTTTCTCTGGCCTCAGTTTCCATCACGTTGAAAATGAAAACAGCCCAGTGTGGGACTAACCACAAGGGCCCTCAGCCCCTCTGCATCCCAGCCTTCCAGTAACATCCACTTTCCAGTCTCACCTTCCCTGTCTGCGTAATAGAGAAAATAATAAAGGGCACCTACCCCGAAAGGTTGCTTTGAGAATTCAGCCAGAAAATCCAAGCAAAGGGTTCCTAGTGTGCGGCCCATAATAAGCACTCAATAAATGAGCTGCTCCTGTTGTTGTTCTTACTATTATTCCCTCCCAAACAACTACAAAAATAGAAGGTTGAGGAGTCAGCCATTAGCAACAAAACACTGCTCGCAGCCAACTGAGACTATGGCTGGTCTGAGGCTAACTGGGCTTCGCACGGCCACCAGTCTCTTCCCAGAGCCTAGCAGGGTGTCGGGGGCTTTGGAGGCCCTCATCAGATGTGTGTTAAACAGATGCACAGTGATAATGAGTGATGAAGGTATACATGAGCAAGTGTCTTAAAAAGCTACTGCTGTACCCTGGCCTGGCACCCTCTGAGGGCTCTGGGCTACAGGTACAAATTGGCAAACCCCACGAAGAGCACACGCAGGAGGGCCCACAGTCTGCTGGCCCACTGGGGGTGGTATCCCACTGTTCTTGTGCGTGCAGGGCCTGCATCGAAAGGGATGGTGCGATTTCCACTGAAGACTCTGACTCCCTATTTCACCCTCAAGGACTCAGACCACTTGATTTGCTGAAAGGGCTTTAGCTAATAGACTTTTAATAATCTAAAAGAGTGGAGGCAGATTCAAAAAGGAATGGACTACGGACAGCATCGTGGGGTCGGAGCTACATAGTGCCACTTTAGTGTTTGCCTTAAGATACCTTCCTGTACAACCAGCACCTGTTTGCAGAACTAGAAAAACCAGTGCTCCCAACAGAGCCCACCCAAAGACAGCTTGTCATTTATCGGTGTGCTTCGAATTGTCACTCTGGTGCCGCTTTGGGACCTATCTTATCCTTGGTATCATGTGTACTATTATGAACTGAATCCTCGTGTTTAAACCAACTCCCTGAAAAAAAAAAATTAAATGAAGTCACTTTTTAATGAAATTTAAACCACTACAGTGCATGAGAAACCAATACTGCTTGCCCTAAACATGAGGGAACTGTACAAATAAACACTTGGAAACAAAATATTGTACTTGCAATGGAGCTAGCCTCCATTGCTTTTGTCCCTTCTGGGTTTGAGGTATGCTCTCTCTCCCTTACAGAGGGAGGTTGGCATTTGAGGGCATAAAAAATTGCCAGCCCCCAACTAAGGATCTGTCCTTCAGGTGCTTTGAAAGACTTGAGAAGAATGAATGGAAGAGATAAGTTTCTTGTGATGTGAGTGCATGTTTTTGAAGCCATATTCACACACCACATGAAATCAATGCAGGCTTGCAAAACAGTAGAAACTTGCATTCTGATTCTCAGCCATCTTGCAGGACTGCCTAACTGAGGTTACCTGTTCCTGAATGCAGTTAAAATATCCTTCTCCTCAATTCTGTGATGCACTACAAAAATTCTATAATCAGGATGCATCTTACAGTTACTGGCTTTTATAAGCCACTTTTACGGACTAGTGTCTTGAATTGCGTCTCTTCTTCTTTATCAGGGAAGCTGTTATTAGACTGATGACATACCTCATAATGAGGGTGACTCAGGAGTCAAGAAAAGATGGTACACCTTAACAGGGTCAACATAAATGAGCCTGCTGTTTGGATGCCAAGACAACACAACAGCCTTGCATTCTTACAATCGTGTTCATCTGATAAAGACATTACAATAGCAAGATATGATCTATATCCCCCCACTGGAACACTCACACATTCTTGGCCTTGAATGCTTGAGCAAAATGCTGCACACTACGGAGCAGAGAGAGGTCCAGGGTCATTGCTTCTACCTTGGCTTTATGCTGGAATGAGAGAGAAAATAAAAAGAAATGATAAATAACAGCAAGTTTAGTTCGTGGTATCAAGTTACAGTAAATGTGTTATGGAACATGTCGGAATTCCCCTGTTGAATATTAGACGCCCAGAGAGAATATAAATCATCGGAATGAATGGAAGAACAAGGCTTTTACTGCCAAGTTTGGGAAGGATGTGAGGCTAGGATTCTGCTTAAAACGACCAGCTGGGGTTGTGCTGTTTCATTCGGTGCTTGGAAAAGGCTCACGTATCTCCTCCTTCAATCTGCGGTAAGAATAGGGGAACCCCAGCACAAAGCCTGGCTGGGCAAGAAGTCCGTAGACAACATTTTAAGCTCAAAAGCTGCCATCTGGTTTCTGAAATGATGCCACTGAGGCTGCACCAAAAATTAAAGACAATTCATTTATAGAAAGTGTAAAAGCTGGGAAAATTCACTTATACCGATGGATCCCAAGAGACCTTGAGTGACCTATATCACAAAATACCCCTGGTTTGGTAACCCAGAAAATCTGCTTGATAGAGGGGCACTTGCAGATAATAATAATGATGCTAATAAAGGCTGCTGTCTATTCAGGGCTGCCCATGGGCTGGACATCTACATGCACCATCTCATTTCATCCTCACAACTGAAAGATGGGTTACACTTTCCCTGTTTTACAATGTGGTGTCTTATATGATATCACTAAGCTAAGAAGGGTGGTGGGCAAGGACTGACCCTGGGACAGTATGACACAGGGCCCAGGTTCTCTCCTGGACAGACACTATTAGGACCGGACCAGCTAGGATCTGAGGTAATCATGTTCCACTGGACAGCCTCCTGGCACAATTCTAGAAAGACCAGGGCTGCCTTTCACTCTTGACTCGTGTTTATGCGGCACTCGATTTGGGGACTTCTGGCTGGACTTTGGGGTATGAGATTAAATCCCATCACTTCTCAGACCTATCTCCTCTGAAGGGCACAGAGCCAAGAGTGCCAGGACCACCTGCCCATTCAGGTGGGAGGGGACAGACCCCTAAAACAGTGGTTAACTTGGGAATTCTCATCGAGACTGTGATGCCAAAGAGCAACTAAGGACAGGGACCCGATACCTGTAAGGCTATGAAGGGGAATCATACGGCACTGCCGGGAATGCCCTCCACCCTAGTGGTCTTACTCAGGCATGATACAAACCATACCGCGATGCTCAGTGTATCTGCGGCAATTTATGTTGGCCTGGCCGCCTAGGCCCTGTGCTCCAGCCCAAGTCCAACCCTTAAACAATAAAACATCAGGCAGAGACAGCTGGAAAGCATATTGACTTAAGGCCATTAACATTTCTGAGCCTCAGTTTCCTGATTTCTAAAAGGTGAATATCAATTAATTACTCATAGAGTTGTGGGGATAAGTGTAAGACACCCAACACCCTGCCTGGAAGAGAGAGGCATTGAATCAGTTTAGCTAGACGGAGGTAGGATGTCTCCTGGGCCAAATTCTTTCCCCAAGGCGACAGGGTACCCAGAGGACCTCCCTGAAGACCACATCAGGTCTGAGGATAGATCCTGGGACCGGGTCACGTCTCCCAACAGAGCCCAGTTTGAGGGGAAGGGGCCACACGGTGATTCGATGACTTCTCCAAACCCCAACAGCATATGGGTGGGGAAGGCAACTTGGCCAATGTAGATTCAAATTCCTCAGGTGCCAGTTGGAGGAGGAGGTGAAGCATTTAACCTGATCCAGGAGAAAGGGAAACAGCCAACCAACACACAGGTTGTTAGCTTCCTGAGATCAGAGACTAGGGGAGCTGGAGGGTCCCCAGGACCCACGGCCACAGCCCTCATCCTGCAGAGAAGGAGACCGCCACCAGGAGAGAGAAAGCTCCCTGTGCGGGGAGTGTGGGCTCCAGAGAAGAAGCAAGGACCAGTCCCTCACTGCCTAAGGAACCGCTGCTTATCTGATGGCTAAAATGTCTTCAGAGATGGCTAAAATCTCAGTGGCTTTTACTGCCCATAGATTCTGACACGTGCATCATCAGTGCTCAAGTCCCCACGCTGACATTCAGAGTTAGCAGAGAAAGGAGCCTTTCACCCCACCCGGCCTCCTCTGGCCCCGGCCTCACCGCACTCGGAGCATGACACTCACTGCCATACACAGAATCTCACAGAACTTTAAACACAGGAGGAAAGTCAGACCTTCATTCTGCTGGGGAAGGGGTAGTAAAGACATTGGTCCTCTCAGCCGAGCCCCCTACAGAGACCCCAAGGGATATGCAGGACACATAGTATAAAAATGCACGTGCACACTTCCCCCATAAGACAAAGAGAACATTCCCAGCTGGCGACCCCAGGGCACCATTGCAACCAGAAGGACAGCACAGCCGCGGGGGCCGCGTACTCCTCTGCGTGGGTGACTTACAATTGGCAGGTCGTCTTTTGGCCCTCCCCCTTCACTTTCATAGATAGCACAGAGCTGCCACTTCCACTAAGAACAAAATCAGGACGTACACATGCAGGGGGAACAAGGGGTCACAAGTCGTCAAGGAGTTCAACAGACAAATCTGTAGGCTGTGGGTTACTAGGCTCCTGGGGACAGCAATTCAAGTCCACACACTATTAGTCAGGTAATTCTCCTGCCCTCGGTTTAGGTTTCCTATTTCTACTACTGACCCTGAGAAATACAGAGAAACTGTGTGCAATTCAGTAAGTCCAGTGAAGGAAAATCGCAGCTTTTAGGGTGTGTGTGTGTGAGTGTGTGTGTATGTATGTGTGTGAGTGTGTGTGTGTGTGTGAGTGTGTGTGTGTATGTGTGAACGGGTAGGGTGTTGCTCTTCTGACTGCCTAACAGACTCAGCAATATTATAGAAACCGTTATTGTGGGACATGTTCTAGACGAAAAGTGGCTGATGGATGGCAAAGGGAACCCATTTTTGAGGGGATAAACTGCTGGTTACTAGGTCAAGGTGAGAGGCCAGATCCACCAATGTGAGCTTTCCTGCCTCGTCTGGCCAGGAATCTAGGACTGTCTGTGATTCACTTTCTTTCTGTAACTTAGGAACTTTTTGTTGGTGTTACTTACTTCGATTTGGAACTAATTATAGACTCATGAGAAGTAGCAAAAACAGTACCTGGGTCGCATACCCATCCCCCACCAACCCCCAAGGGTTCCTTCTTAATACAATGTACATTATTAAGACCAGAAAATGGGCACTGATACAATTTATTAGACCACAGACATTACTTAGATTTCACCAGTTTGGGGACGCACTCATTTTCTTTTGTTTGGAATATCTTTGTGCATAATTCTATGACATTTATCACATGTGTAGATTCATAGAACCATCAGCACATTCAAGATACAGAACTGTTTCATCACCACTAAAGAAAAACAGGGAGTTTTTTTATTAAGTGGTGATAAATTAGCAAATGCTGTCTGGGACATGGCAAGTTCAAGCCTTGTTTGTCCAGAGTCTGCTCTCTGGATTAGCAAAGCAAATACATACAGAGTCGCAGCTTAAAATACTTCTGTAGGGCCACCAAGATGTGGTCCAAATTCTTTAGTAAGGCTTCTGTATCAAATCAAGACTTGCTTCAGTGAGGAAGAGCCCCAACCTCAATGTTTTAGGACAACCAAAGACTAGTACTCACTCACACCTCAAGCCCATCCCAGGCCAGTGGGGCTGTATTCATCCTCATCAGCCAGGGACCCAAGCAGATGGAGCCTCTGCCTTGTGCACCACTAGCCTCTACGGGGTGGGGAAGAGAATGTGGCAAATTGCATACGGGATCTCAAAGGCTCCCATCCAGCAGAGACAGATGTCACTTCTGCTCACATTTCATTGGCAGAGAAAGTCATGTGGCTGTGCTTAGCTTCAAGACGATGCAACCCTCCATGTGCCCAGAAAGAGAGGAAATAGAAATGTGTACATAAAGAAGAATGGGAATGACTGGTACACAGTCCATGACTTTGCCTGCCTACCTCTCTGGGCTTGTTTCAGGTTACTTCTTGCTTCACGCTTTCATTAATTACAGAAAAAAATTAGCAAAGGTAGGTGAATATGGATAAAAAAAACAAACTACAATCCCACCACCCCAAAACTTCCATATGTCCCTTTCTGCTTCCCTTCCTCCCTCTCTATCCATCCATCCAACCAACTTTGTTTAAAAGAACCTCATCCTCAGAACTTTGAATCTTAAAATGCTATAAAACACCTCTCTCAACCCTTCCCCAACCCTCACTCTTTTCTCTAATCACACCAGTACACAAACTTATCATCTCAAGCAAATTAGGAATGTAAGTTTATTTTAGGTTATGTATGCAGATGCTGGCACCCATCATTTTAAAACAGAACCACACAGGTGGCCTCCCACACAAGAAGCATCTGGCAACTACTAAGTCGCTGAGAAGCCCACCTGCTCTCAACGCCCCAGGCTCGGCCAGAAAGACGTGGTTATTAAGCAACCCACGTACTTTTCTTCACATCCCTGGGATCTGGGGACACTTGCTGGTGTTTTTGGCCTATTCTTTACTGAGTTCCAAAACCAGCCTCAGTGATGCAAGCATCTAAATGTAGAAGCAAAGGGGATGCTTGCTCAGATTATTCAAGAATGAGTTCTCGTACCACTTTATGACTATGAATTAGCCAAGTGTGACTCGGATTTGATACCGCCTGAAACCAAAGGAACCATATGGGGACTGTGCAGTATGTAAACAGAGGAGTGGGGAGATGTTATCATCCACAGCAGAGATGGCAGTGCCAGGCGGGCCCGGAGCCACAGCCCAGCACGGCCACAGGGCTGGCAGTGTGACCTGAGAGAAGTGACCTGAATGCTCTGGGCCTCAGCTGCCTAATTTGAAAGTGGCTATTTGCCCTGCATGGTTAGAGTAAAGATTAGAGATGATGTATTTAAGGTAGGGGGCCCATAAATAATAACTATTATCACCCTTATTTGGAAGGCTACTACTATAATGTGATGGTCACTGGTTTACACTAATAAAGCACATTGGTAATTG